AAAAAAGTGGATCACATATTGTTGCAGTGATTAATACTCTTGTCTCACAACAAGAAGGTTGTCGGATTGAACCTGCTGGGCTACAGGAGCAAAGACGTGCATGATCTGTTAACTGGTGACTGGCAGTAGGTGTGGATGTGAGAGTGAATGGTTGTGTGTTGGCTCTGTCATAGACTGGACAATGTTAACAAGGGGGGGCTTTTATTTTGATATTATCGAGCAGGTCATGTGCTGTTTGTACTTTGTTCCATCTGAAACTGCAGTCTATTTTAACCCTTATTTAAAGCTTCCAGTACATGTCACACAGTGGAAATTTGTGTTTTTATGTTTAATCGATCTGTGTACATAGTGTTGATTTTATTTGCATGATTTTATTGTGATATTTATATTGCATGGTTTTATCCTTATATTTATATTATGTGTGTTAATGTTGTTGTACCATATTCCTTTAATCCACTGTGGACTAAACAGACAATTGTAGGCACCTGTGAGGTGGGGGCGTTCCCCAAGGTGGCCTATCAGCCGCCAGATTGACCTGTTAAAGGGGATAGTGAGCGCAGAGACAAGAGGAGCGACGCATGAAAGGTGAGCAGGAGAAAAAGGAACGCGTGTAAACCCGCACGTGTGTTGAAGGAACTGCTGCCTGACTGTGGGGAGTCGCGAGTCGTTCGGCGGTCCAGTCCCAACGGCAGGAACAGCAACAGCGGGTGGCGATGGCCGCAATTCACAACAGGGCAGGGATGCCCCTCTGCCTGCATCTGACGGTGAGACGAGGGAGGCCGTGTTCAGGTGTGGAGTGGGGCGGGACTGTGCGGCGACGCGCTGTCAGGAGGAGACAGGTCTGCGACTGGAGCCCCCTCCTTGTTCCTCTGGCCTGCGTGGTTTCCATCCCGCAAGAGACATTCCTCTCCTGTTTCAGATAAGGACCATTCGCCCATGTGTGGCTGCACTGTGGGATTATGGGACTGTGGGAGGGTAATTTTAGCATATGGAAAACTTTTTAGCTTTGTTTTAATAGGGTATAGTTATTTCTGCCGGCAGGGTTTTTAGCGCATTGAGAAAACTCTTTTTATTGTTTACGGGGGATTTTTAACTTGTATTTGTGATTCTGTCTGTGTTTTTATGGAAATAAATGTTGTGTGTGTTCAAAGCCAGTTTAGTTTCTGTGCCCTGAGCGCTGACCCGCTCGCTCCCCTTCCTCTTGTATGTGAACGGACTTGGAGGTGAAGATTTAGGTCCACCAGTCTTAGCGGCTACATACACAACATAAAAAATCCTTGACTAATTTTCCAGTGCCTGATGCATAACATGGTTGCAGTGTTGTCAGTAAACAAAAGGTCCTGAATGATGTGGATAACATTTTTAGAAAAATATTTTTCCCTCCAGTGTGACTAGTGCAGGTCCGTGTCTACAAAAACACTGCCAGCATTCATTATAGATAACAAACTAGACAGGTGTCCAGCTATGTGGAGTAATAAACTTCAGCCCATATAACTTAGACAGATTTCTGACTCAGATTTTTGCTGTCTTTTTCTAATTCGTTTTTTTTAGCTGCACTGTGCTTGATGATGTACAGAGTATGTAAATTTGTTTTGCTTTGTTTACATGATCTCTGTAAATGTAATGTACTTTTTTAGTCTTACTGACTAAAGCATTTTTTGCTGCAAGTGACATTTAACTATATTTTCATACAATGTTTTATTCACAAAGCACGTTATCTACCTCCCATCGATGGTCAACTTGTGTTGATGGAGTAACTGGAGGACACCCATGCAGGCACAGGGAAAACATGACAGGGAAAGGCCCTGTAACGTGTGTGTCCTTTAATGTCCACTTGAGCTAGCTGCCAAAGCAAGTTAATTCCAGTAGATTGCCCTTTACTACATTTATTACTGATAAAGCTTAAAGGGGCGTTGCCACACTAATTGTAGCTGCCTGCTCAGCCTCACCTCTGCTAATTCAAGTTATTCAACTATACTTCTCAACTGCATTGGTGCCTTTTGGAGCACAAATATATTCATCTGACAAATAACGTGGCTTAAAAATGTATTTTTGTTTAAACCCTACAGTCAAGCATGCTTGACTTACCCGAAAAATTAGTCTGTGACTGTCTTATCCAAATAGGGTTGTCATGACCCTGGGCCATGTTGGCCCAGCATTCTTAGTATTCATGTGTTTTGTTCCTTATTTAGGCCATGGTTCCTGGGTTGCTCTGTTACGTTGTTCCTTATTTCCCCTTGTGACTTTTACCCCCTGTGAGCCCCT